GCTTCTCAGATGTTCTCCGGGCTGAAAGCTGCTCTGTGGATGAGCTCACCCTACAGGGATGACCTCAAGTAGCCAGAATCTGGTACCCAGCATTATCATTAAGATGACAATTAACTCAGGGTGCCTAGCTGGCTCAGTTGTAGAGCATGCAACTTTGATCTCCAAAGTTGTGAGCTCCAGGCTGGGTGTAGAGATTACTTAAATCTTAAAAAAAAAAAAAAAAAAAAAAAAAAAAAGATAACAGTGAAATCTTAGCTAGAATCCTCACTGCCTTCACATCATCCTAAGCTGTGCTCTCCCCACACCAACGCTGTTACCCCTCGTCTGCATGCACCCACATCTCCACGTCAGGACCAGTGGCCTCTTCCAGTTCTGGGCAGGCAGCCCTGAAAGGGGGCCATGGTGCAGAGCTCTAACTCAGGCAAGTAACATTAAAGGGAGGTAGAGTTAGGGAAAGAGAAAAAGGGGTGGGGGGGCGGGCAGCCAGATCTACAGAAAGCCTTGGAAGCAGAAACACAACGGTTGGAGCAATCTACAAGGAAGAGAAAACTGTCTTAAGATGTTCAGAATTTACAAGGTGGCCCTCACTAATAAGAGCTGGACAGAAACAATTTAGGCTGTTCTCCTGCCACAACACATGTAAAACGGATTCTATAGGTGGGTTAAAAAAAGTGGGGGGAGGGCTAGGCCAATCAATGATTTCCCGTGATGACAAATTCACTAGATGGATTTTACCACTTAATCAATGTTAATCTTTGTGTCTGGTTGATAGATGATGCATTACTGAATATGGCTGTTTGGTTTCTTTGAGAAAATCCTATCAAAAGGGGCACCTGGGTGCTCAGCCAGTTAAGTGTCTGCCTTCTACTCAGGTCAGCATTCCAGGGTCCTGCTCAGTGGGAGGCCAGATTCTCCCTCTCCCTTTGCCTTTCCCCCTGCTTGTACATTCTCTCACATTTGCTCTCTCTCTCATGAATAAATAAAATCTTTAAGGGATGCCTGGGTGGCTTAGCAGTTGAGTATCTGTCCTTGGATGAGGGCATGTGATCCCAGTCTGGGGATCGAGTCCTGAGTCCAGTTCCCTGCGAGGAGCCTGCTTGTCCCTCTGCTTGTGTCTCTCTGCCTCTTTCATGAATAAATAAAATCTTAAAAAAAAAAAAAACAAAAACTTTAAAAAATCGTATTAAAAAAAGAAAATCTTAGCTGAGAGTTTTGAAGGTTATTTATTTATTTATTCATGAGAGACACAGAGAGAAAGGCAGAGGCACAGGCAGAGGGAGAAGCAGGCTCCATACAAGGAGCCCGACGTGGGACTCCCAGGTCTCCAGGATAAGGATCACGCCCAGGGCCAAAGGCAGCGCTAACCCAGGCTGCCCTGAGCTGAGAGTTTTGATTAGTGAGTTTAACCCATTTATAGCTAATCACTACTTGAGCTAGCCTCAATTCAGCCTCCTTATCTCCTGTTTTTTAATTACCAACTTCTCAGTTTTTCTTTCTTCCTTTTTTGCCTTCAATTTCCCTTCCTAGGTGTGGCAGTTTCCTGTCTCCTAGGGTATTGTGATTTATAATAAGAAATATGTACTGTTAAATAAATAAGAAGGGGGTGCCTGGGTGGCTCAGCTGGTTAAACATCTGCCTTTGGCTCAGGTCATGATTCCAGAGTCCTGGGATTGAGGCCCACATGAGGGTCCCTGCTCAGTGAGGAGTCTGCTTCTCAGGCTCCCTCTGCCCCTTCTCCTCATGTTTGTCTATTGCTTTCTCTCTCAAATAAATAAAATCTTTAAAATAAAAATAAAAATAAGTTAAAATTAAAAAATAAGAAATATGTATTTTGGTCTGGTTCAAAATTCCTAGTACACAGTCCCTAAAACCCTTGTAATTTCCTCAGTGATAAGAGTGATGAGAGCATCTTTTGTTATACTTGCATTTTTGTCCTTGGTTCCCAAAACAGCTTCAAAGTGCTAAAGTGAAAACTATGTCTTCTTATTTCCAACACACGCCTTTCAATCACACCTCAGTTTGTCAATGATTTTTGGAAAGTCACAAAGGATGGCGTTTTCCAGGGGAACTAACCACGCAGAGGTTTGGAATTTGCAGCTGCCCACCCCGAACCCCCAGTGAGGGGAGAAGGGCTAGAAATCTGAGTTCTGTTACCAATGGTAAATGATTGAATCAATCATGCCTAATTACTGAGGACTGTAAAAAAGTCTCTGAAGTATGGGAATTTTGGACAGCTTCTGGGTTGGAGAAAACATGGAGGTGCCAGAAGCGTGGCATGACTAAAAAGGACGTGGCAAATCCTCACCCCTTTCCCATACCCACCCAACACCTCTTCCATGTCACTGTTCCCAAGTTATAGCCTTTTATGACAAACCAGTCATCAAGTAAGTTAACCGTCCTCCTGAGATCTGTGAACTGTTCCACGAAATTATCAAGTCCAAAGAGGTGTCACAGGAGCCTCTGATTAACAGTAACAACCCGTACTTGGAATTGGGATTAAAAGTGGGTTAGTCTGATGGGACTGAGCCCTTAATCTGTGGGATCTGATGCTACTTCCAGGTAGACTGTGCCAGAACTGAGTGAAACTGTAGAATACCCAGCAGGAATCAGAGAACTGGATGTGTGGGAAAAACCTACACATGTATGGTGGGGAAAAGTACTGGTAGAGAAGAAAAGGAGGGTTTTCCCCCCATTTTGCCTCCCAGTAAGCTATTCTGCCCTTTTTCCTTAATGAACCCCAATTTTTAGCTAGACACTTTGCAACCCTGCTAAGAGGCAATTCCCTGCCTCCCTTGAAGCCAGGTATGGTCATATCATTGGCCAAAGAGATGCAAATATTTTATGTAGGATTTCTGGGAAATTTCTTTCAAAGGGCTATGTCCGGGGTGCCTGGGTGGCTCAGCAGTTTGGTGCCTGCCTTTGGCCCGGGGCAGGATCCTGGAGTCCCGGGATTGACTCCCACATCAAGCTCCCTGCATGGTGCCTGCTTCTCCTCCTGCCTGTGTCTCTCATGAATAATTAAAATCTTAAAAAGGGGGGGGGGGGCTATGTCCTTCCTGCTTCCTCCTCCTTGCCACGTTTTAAAAAAGATTTTGTTTATTCATGAGACATAGACATAGACATAGAGAGCGAGGCAGAGACATAGACAGAGAGGCTCTCCATAGGGAGCCTGATGGGGAACTCCATCCGGGAACTCTGGGATCACAGCCTGAGTTGAAGGCAGATGCTCAACTGCTGAGCCACCCAAGTGTCCCTCCCTTGCCACTTTTTTTTTTCCCTTGCCACTTGAATACAGGTGTAACCACAGCAGCTCCAGGATCCTGGACCTAGGACCCACAGACAAGCACCTTTTTTTTTTTTTTAAAGATTTTATTTATTCATGAGAGACACACACACAGAGAGAGAGAGAGAGGCAGAGACACAGGCAGAGGGAGAAGCAGGCTCCTCGCAGGGAGACCAATGAAGGACTCGATCCTGGGTCTCCAGGATCACACCCTGGACCGAAGGCGGCGCTAAACTGCTGAGCCACCCAGGCTGCCCAACAAGCACCTTTGAAGTAGAGGCTGTACACAGCAGAGTAACAGGACAGAGTGGTTGGATTTCTAATGATACCAGCACTGGACTGCCCGCCTCAGAAATTCTACTTGGAAAGACTTAAGCATCTCTCGCTCTCTCTTTTAAAGATTTAGTTAATTAATTTATTCATGGGGGTGGGGCAGAGACACAGGCAGAGGGAGAAGCTGGCTCCACAGAGGGAGCCCAACGCAGGACTCGATCCCAGGTCTCCAGGATCAGTCTCTGGGTTGGAGGCAGCGCTAAATCGCTGAGCCACCCGGGATGCCCAACATCTCTCCAACATCTCTTTAATTGCCATCAAAGCTTTCCTAATCAATACATTTCAAACATATATATTCTATTTTTACACTTCTGGCAGTTACTCCATTAACTTCTAAGGACCTGTAACTATTATTTTTCCCCATCAATTACTTACACTTGTAACCATCTACACTTCCCCACAAAGAGTTCAGCATGTTCCCATCTCTGCTCTGTACTGCCACCCATTCCGCACTTGTCTTCCATGTTGGGATTGCCTAGAATTTAATTCTGGACTGTTACTGATGGTAGGTTGCTTTCTTACACCTTTCTTCTTAAACTTTCTATTGAAGAATTACATAGAGAATACATAAATCTAAGTCAAAATTAATAAATTTGCACCAAAAAAAAGAAAAAGAAAAAAGAAATTTGCACCAAGTGAATACATTTACATAACCAGTACTGCCTCAGAAACAGGACACCCCTAGACCCCATGTGTCTTCTTCATGCTCCCTTCAGCCATGATTCTTCCTCCCACAGCTAACCACTACCATGATACTGAGCCCCCCCCCATGTAAGTTTTGCCTGTTTTTACACTTTGTATCAAGAGATTATAGGATGCTGTTTTTGTCTGGCTTCTCATTCAACATTCATGATACTCAACATTGTTGGATCCCTACAGGCTTCCACTGTGAATATACCACAATGTATCTATCCCCTCTATTTTTGGTGGATATCTGGTTTAACTCCAGTTTCTGACTGTGACAAGCAGTGCTGTCGTGAATATCTTTGAACCTACCTTTAAGTGAACATCAGATGTATTTCTGGTGGCTGTATGCCTAGAAGTGGATTGCTAAATTGTAGAATATGCACATAATTGGTCGTGTAGTATGGGTTGTCAAATCTTTTCCTAAAATCACTGCACAAATTGATATGCCCCAACAGCAAGGCCAAACAATTTGGGGTGCTCCACACCTCAACATCACTTGGTACTATCTTTTTCACTGAGCCATTCCAGTGGGTGTGCAGAAGCAGTTGTGGTTTTAATTTGCTATTTCTGAATGACTGCTGAGGTTAACACCTTTCCATGTGCTTGCTAGCATCTGGATATCCTTTTTGGTAAAGTAACTGTTCTAAAGATTTTTTTTTTTTTTGCCTCTTTTTTTTTTTTTTTTTTTTTTTTTTTTTACTTTATTTATGACAGGCACACAGTGAGAGAGAGAGAGGCAGAGACACAGGCAGAGGGAGAAGCAGGCTCCATGCACCGGGAGCCCGATGTGGGATTCGATCCCGGGTCTCCAGGATCGCGCCCCGGGCCAAAGGCAGGCGCCAAACCGCTGCGCCACCCAGGGATCCCCTTTTTGCCTCTTTTCTAATGGGGTTGCCTAACTTACTTATTGACTTGGAGGTGTTTCTTCAAAATTCTGCATATAGGCAATGTGTCAGACATATGTATTGCAAATATCTTTTCTCACCCCGTGGCTTGCCTTTTTACTCTCTAGTGAAGTTCTTAACTTGTAAATCAGTCACCCCTTCTATCCATTTCCTTCTCCATGGTTTGTGGGGTTGTCTCATGTTAAGAAATGTTTGCTTACTCCAAAATCACAAAACCCTTGTTCTTCTGACCAAAAGAACACTTCCTTAGCTATGTGCTCTCCCATATGTGTTATGGATTCTACCGCATGCCGCTGAGCTCTTAAAAGTACTTTCCCCACTCAAGAGCTCTGTGCGGAAAACCTTCCAAGGTCAGCTATGCTAGAGGAAAAAAATACTACGTTTAATAACAGTTTAGTAAGATACAAAATTCTGCTTTTAAAGCCATTTTACTTTGACACTGAAAAAAGTAGCTCTTAGATCAATAGATCAAATTTGATACTGGTCTGCTTGTTCCTTTGTGACTTCCTTTCAAAAAATTTGGAATTTTCTCTACATCTTTGTTAAATTTTCACTGTAGTGTGTCGAGGCGTGGGCTTTCTTCCTTCCATCTGTCATGTTTAGCATTCTTTAAATTACAGACCTTTTCCTCTTAGGATTTCTGAGAAACTCTTGGTCATTATATTCTCAAACATGTTCTTCCCCTTCTTCCTGTCATTTCCTCTCTGCTTCTGAGATTTCTATTATACAAATATTGACATTTCTACACTCATCCTTATAGCACTGTGCTTCACCTTTCACCTTTTTATCCCAATGCCTTACAGAATTCTTAAACCTGACCTTCCAACTTGCTCATTCAGTCTTCAGCTACATCCATTATGCTACTCAACCCATCTCCTGAATTCTTTGTTCCCAAGGATGCCTACTTATTCCTGTTTCATGGACCCATTTCCTTCCTTTGCTTGATATTCATTATGCTTACTGCATCCACACAGGAGGCTGGGAACATGAATTATGTTCCCACTACCACAGGCTGTCAATCTGCCATTTTCCTTTCACTCTGACTATACCAGTCAGCTTCTCATCACGGCTCCCTGTGAACATTCACCAAGTGAGATCATACTCCTCCACTCACAGCAATCTCTCCAAGGAACTCCCTATGGAGTTCAGGTAGAATCCATGGTCTCATGTGGCCCATGGGGCCTACCACCTCATCCCCCAAACCCTCCTGCCATCCCTTCTGGCATGAGCCACAAAATACTCCTGCCAGTCTTCAACAAAGCCTGCTTCCACCTCAGAACTGCCAGCACTGCTGGTGCCTCAGCCTCACATTATTCTCATTAAGCAATCTGCTGGCTGCTGACTCCCTCACCTCCTTTGTGATCATGTTCAAATGGCACCTCCGTGGGGCCTCCCCATCATCCTATTTAAATCTAACCCTTCCCAAAGCCTAACACTTTCTCATTTTCTTCCTTGATTTTTTTCTACAGTACTTAAAAATCATTGGACATGTGGGCTTTTCTGGTCTATTTACTGTTCCTTGAGATAGAAACTTTGTTAATTGCTGTATCTACAGTATTTAGAACAGTGTCTGGCACTACTAGGGGGAGGGGAGAAGAGAGTGTACCTCAGGACTCTCACTCTGGGCTCACCAGCCACGGGCTCACTCCACATTGCAGGAAGGCTTTAACCTTCAGGAAAATTCAAAGAGGCATTGCTCTTTTACAAAAGCTATGTCCCTTCTTTGGAATCGGAGACCTCAAGGTGTGGAAAGGATGTGAAGAAGTAGCACTAGGAAGAGAAACAGGCAGGACTCTAAGAGTGTCCCTTGGCCAGTACATCCAACCTCTTCTGCTCTGAGTTGTTAACCCTACCTCACAGAAATCTGACCACCTTGTTTCCCCTGGGGGTTCCTCACAGTTTTTATGTTATTTTTTCTCAGCTCTAGACATTTCCAGTTCCGAGAAAAGAGTTAGCAGTTTAGGCTAGCCTTCTGATTGCTGCTGTCACAAATCACCAAAAACTTAATGGCTTAAAACAACATAAATTATCTTAACAGTTTTGCAGGTCAGAAATCCAAAATGATCCTCACTGACCTAAAAAGCTGTGTTCCTTAGTAGAGGCTGTAAGAACTTCTAGAGGCTGCCCACATTCCCTGGTTCATGGCCAGTGAAACCTATCTGCTCATTACATCACGTGCCCTCCTTAACATCCATCATTTAGTTACCCCATCCCCCTCGACTCCAGCAATGCTGTTTCTTTCCTATGATTAAGAATTTATTATGATTTGTCTCCCTAATTGTCTTGGTTTTTCCTCCCTTCCCTTATGATCCTGTTTTTTCTTAAATTCCACAAGTGAAATACTATCATGTTTGACTTATTTCGCTTAGCATAATACCCTCTAGTTCCATACAAGTCATTGCAAATGGCAAGATTTCATTTTTTATGGCTGAATAATATTCCAATGTGTATGTGTGTGTATACACACACACATATGCCACATCTTTATCCATTTATCTGTAGATGGACATTTGGGCTCTTTCTACAGTTTGGCTATTGTGGACATTGCTATGAACCACTGGAGTGCAGGCGTCCCTTTGGATCACTACATTTGTATTTTTGGGACAAATACTTAGTGCAATTGCTGGGTTGCAGGGCAGCTCTATTTTCAACTTTCTGAGGAACTCCATACTTTTTTTTTCCCAGAACGGCTGTATCAGCTTACATTCCCACCAACAGTGTAAGAGGGTTCCCTTTTCTCTGCATCCTCACCAACAGCTTTTGTTTCCTGACTTGTTAATTTTAGCCATTCTGATGGGTGTGAGGTGGTATCTCATTGTGATTTTGATTTGTATTTCTCTGATGCCAAATGATATTGAGCAGTTTTTCATGTGTCTGTTGGCCATTTTTAGGTCTTCTTTGGAGAAATGTCTGTTCATAACTTCTGCTCATTTCTTTCTGTAAAAAAAAAATTATTCATGAGAGAAACAGAGAGTCAAACACAGGCAGAGGGAGAAACAGGCTCCTCCCAGGGATCCCGATGCAGGACTCGATCCCTGACCCGGGATCACACCCTGAGCCGAAGGCAGAAGCTCAACCACTGAGCCACCCAGGCATCCCTCTTCTGCCCACTTCTTGACTGGATTATTTGTTCTTTGGCTATTGAGTCTGATAAGTTCTTTCTAGATTTTGGATACTAACCCTTTATCTGCTAAGACACTTGCAAATATTTTCTCCTATTCTGTCAGTTGTCTTGGTTTTGTCAAGTTTCCTTTGCTGTGCAAAAGCTTTTTATCTTGATGAAGTCCCAATAGTTCATTTTTGCCTTTGTTTCTCTTGCCTTTGGAGACGTGTCTAGCAAGAAGTTGCTGTGGCCGATGTCACAGAGGTTGCTGCCTGTGTTCTGCTACGATTTTGATGGATTCCTTTCTCACATTTAGGTCTTTCATCCATTTTGAATGTTTTTATGTATGGTGTGAGAAAATGAACCACTCTTCTGCATGAGGCTGTCCAACAACATTTGTTGAAGAGACGATCTTTTTTCCATTGGATATTCTTTACTGCTTTGCTGAAAATTAGCTGACCATAGACTTGAGGGTCCATTTCTGGGTTTTCCATTCTGTTCCAGTGATCTATGTGCCTGTTTTTGTGCCAGCACCATAGCATCTTGAAGATTATAGCTTTGTGATATAGTATGGCTTGAACTCTGGAATTGTGATGTCACCAGCTATGGTTTTTTTCAACTTTCCTTCAACTATTCTGGGTCTTTTCTGGGCCTGTACAAATTTTACAATTATTTTGAGAAAAGTTGATGATATTTTAATAGGGATTGTATTGAATGTACAGGTTGCTCTATCTAGGTAGTATAGACATTTTTTTTTTTTTTTTTTTTAAATTTTTATTTATTTATGATAGGCACACAGTGAGAGAGAGAGAGGCAGAGACACAGGCAGAGGGAGAAGCAGGCTCCACGCACCGGGAGCCCGACGTGGGATTCGATCCCGGGTCTCCAGGATCGCGCCCTGGGCCAAAGGCAGGCGCCAAACCGCTGCGCCACCCAGGGATCCCTAGTATAGACATTTTAACAATACTTGTTCTTCCAATCCATGAGCAAGGATTTGTGTCTTCCTCAACTTCTTTCATGAGTATTCTATAGGTCTCTGAATACAGATCCTTTGCCTCTTTGGTTAGGTTTATTTCTAGCTATCTTATGGTTTTTAGTGCAAGTTTAAGTACTTAATTTCTCCTTCTTCTGTCTCATTGTTAGTATACAGAAATGCAACTGATCTTTGTACACTGATTTTATGTCCTGCCACTTTGCTGAATTCCTATGACTTCTAGAAATTTTGGGGTGGAGTCTTGGGTTTTCCACAGAGAATCATGTCATCTGCAAAGAGTGAAAGTTTGAGGGGATCCCTGGGTGGCGCAGCAGTTTAGCGCCTGCCTTTGGCCCAGGGCGCGATCCTGGAGACCCGGATCGAATCCCACGTCGGGCTCCCGGTGCATGGAGCCTGCTTCTCCCTCTGCCTGTGTCTCTGCCTCTCTCTCTCTCTCTCTGTGTGACTATCATAAATAAATAAAAATTAAAAAAAAAAAAAAAAAAGTCGGGATCCCTGGGTGGTGCAGCGGTTTGGCGCCTGCCTTTGGCCCAGGGCGCGATCCTGGAGACCCGGGATCGAATCCCACATCGGGCTCCCAGTGCATGGAGCCTGCTTCTCCCTCTGCCTCTCTCTCTCTCTCTCTCTCTCTCTCTCTCTCTCTCTGTGTGACTATCATAAATAAATAAAAAAAAATAAAAATAAAAAATAAATAAAATAAATAAATAAATAAAGTGAAAGTTTGAAAAAAAAAAAAGAGCAAAAGTTTGACCTTCTCTTTGCCAATTCAGATACGTTTTATTTCTTTTTGTTTCCTGATTGCTGAGGCTAGGACTTCTAGCACTACATTGAACAACAGTGGTGAGAGTGGATATCCTTGTTGTGTTCCTGACCTTAGGGAAAAGGCTCTCATTTTTTTGGGAATCCAATGAGAATGATATTCACTGTGGGCTTCTTGTATATAGCTTTTCTGATGTTGAGGTATGTTCCCTCTATCTCTGAACTGTGAAAAGCTTTAATCAAGGAAGGATGCTATACTTTGTCAAATACTTTTTCTGCATCTACTGAAAGGATCATACAGTTCTTCTCCTTTCTTTTATTAACGTAGTGTATCACATTGATTAATTTGCAGATGCTGAACCACTCTTGCAGTCCAGCAATGAATCCTGCTTGGTCGTGGTGAATGATCCTTTTATTTTTATTTTTTTTTAATTTTTATTTATTTATGATAGTCACACAGAATGAGAGAGAGAGAGGCAGAGACATAGGCAGAGGGAGAAGCAGGCTCCATGCACCAGGAGCCCGACGTGGGATTCGATCCCGGGTTTCCAGGATCGCGCCCTGGGCCAAAGACAGGCGCTAAACCGCTGCGCCACCCAGGGATCCCGAATGATCCTTTTAATGTACTGTTGGATCCTATTGGCTAGAATCTTGGTGAGAATTTTTACATCCATGTTCATCAGAAATACTGATCTGTAATCCTTTTTGGTGGGATCTTTGTCTGGTTTTGGGATCGAGGTACTGCTGGGCTCATAGAAAGTCTGAAAGATTTCCTTCTATTTTTATTTTTTTCAAACAGCTTCAGAATAGATATTAATTCTTCTTTAAATGTTTGGTAGAATTACCTTGGGAAGCTATCTGGCCCTGGACTCTTTATTTGTTGGGAGATTTTTTTTTTAAGATTTTATTTATTTATTTGAGAGAGAGAGAGAGAGAGAGAGAGAGAGAGAGAGAGAGAGGCAGAGACATAGGCAGAGGGAGAAGCAGGCTCCATGCAGGGAGCCTGATGTGGGTCTCGATCCCAGGACTCCATGGTCATGCCCTGGGCCGAAGGCAGGTGCTAAACCACTGAGCCACTTAGATTGCCCCTTTTGGGAGATTTTTTATTACTGTTTCTATTTCCTTGCTACTTATGAGTCTGTCCAGGTTTCCTAGGTCTTCCTATTTAAGATTTTATTTTGGTATTTAAGATTTTATTTATTTGAGGGGAGGAGGAGAGAGAAAGAAGAGGCAGAGGGAGAGGGAGAAGCAGACTTCCCTGCCAAGCAGGGAGTCCAATGCGGGGTTTGACTGCAGGACCCTGGATAATGACCTGAGCCAAAAGCAGACACTTAACTGACTGTGCCACTTGGACACATCAGTTTATACATTTCTAGCAATGCATCCATTTCTTCCAGATGGCCTAATTTGTTGGCATATAGTTGCTCATAGCATAGTCTTAAAATTGTTTGTATTTCTTTGGTGTTAGTTCTAATCTATCATCTTTCATTCATGATTTTATTTATTTGGGTCCTTTCTCTTCTTTTTGGTAAGTCTGGCCAGGGCTTATTTTTTTTTTTTTAAAGATTTTATTTAATTATTCATGATAGTCACACAGAGAGAGACAGAGAGGCAGAGTCACAGGCAGAGGGAGAATCAGGCTCCATGCACCGGGAGCCCGACGTGGGATTCGATCCCGGGTCTCCAGGATCGCGCCCTGGGCCAAAGGCAGGTGCCAAACCGCTGCGCCACCCAGGGATCCTGTGGCCAGGGCTTATTGATCTTATTATTTCTTAGAACCAGCTCCGGGCAGCCCCGGTGGCGCAGTGGTTTGGCGCCGCCTACAGCCCAGGGCGTGAGCCTGGAGACCCTGGATCAAGTCCCACGTCAGGCTCTCTGTATGATGCCTGCTTCTCCCTCTGCCTGTGTCTCTGCCTCTCTCTCTGTCTCTATGAATAAATAAAATCTTTGGGAAAAAAAAAAAAAAAAGAACCAGCTCCTAGTTTCGTTGATCTGTTCTATTCTTTCGGTTTCTATTTTGTTGACTTCTGCTCTAATCTTTATTCTCGTCTCCTGATGGGTTTAGGCTTTATTTATTGTCCTTTCTGCAACTCCTTTAGGTGTAAGGCTATGATGTGTATTTGAGACCTTTCTTGTTTCATGAAACAGGCTTATATTATAATACACTTCCCTTTTAGGACCACCTTTGTTGCATCCCAAAGGTTTTTAACAGCTGTGTTTTCATTTTCATGTTTCCATGAATTTTTAAAATTCTTATTTAATTTCCTAGTTGACAAATTCATTCTTTAGTAGGATGTTCTTTAACCTCCATGTGTTTCTTTCCAAATTTCTTGTGATTGAGTTCCGCTTTCAGAGCATTGTGGTCTGAAAATATTCAGGGAATGATTCCAGTCTTTTGGTACCAGTTGAGATCTGAGTTGTGACCCAGTATGTGATCTATTCTGCAAAGTGTTCTACGTGCACTTGAGACAAATATGTATTCTGCTGCTTTACAATGGAATGCTATGAATATATCTGTGAAGTCCATCTGGTCCAGTGTGTCATTCAAAGCATTTGTCTCCTTATTGACCTGCTTAGATGATCTGTCCACTGCAGAGAATAGAGTGCTAAAGTCCCCTACTATTATTGTATTAACAATGTTTCTTTAGTTTTGTTATTAATTGGTTTACAAAACTGGCTGCTCCCATGTTAGGGGCATAAATATTTACAATTGTTAGATATTCTGGTTGGATAGACTCTTCAATTATGATACAGTGTCCTTCCTTATTTCTTATTACAGTCTTTGGTTTAAAATCTAATTTGTCTGATGTAAGGATTGCCACCACAGCTTTCTTTTGATGTCCATTAGCATGCTAAATGGTTCTCCACCCCCTCAATTTCAATCTGGAGGTGTCTTTGGGTTTTTTTTGTTTTGTTTTGTTTTGTTTTTTTTGTCTTTGTGTCTAAAGTGAGTGTCTTGCAGTCAGCAGATCCATGGGTCTTCCATTTTTATCCAATCTGATACCTTGTGTCTTCTGATTGGGGAATTTAGCCCATTTACATTCAGAGTAACTACTGAAAGAATTGAGTGACACTATATTGCATGTAAACTCACTATTAATGTATATTGTTACTGTTCCATTCTGGTCTCTATTACTTTTGGGTTCTCTCTTTGATTAAAGGACCCCCTTTAATATTTCTTGCAGGACTGGTTTAGTGATCTCAAATTATTTTAATTTCTGTTTGTCCTGAAAGCTTTTTACCTCTCCTTCTATTTTGAATTACAGCCTTGTTGGATAAAGTATCCTTGGCTGCTTATTCTTCTCATTTAGCACCCAAAATAAATGATGCTAGTCCTTTCTGGCCTGCCAGGTCTCTGAGTAGGTCTACTGAAAGTCAAATGTTTCTATCCTTGTAGGTTACCAATCTTTTGTCCTGAACTGCTTTCAGGAATTTTTCTTTGTCTCAGAGATTTACAAGCTTCAGTATTATATGTCAGAGTGCTGACCTATTGTTACTGATTTGAGGGGGGTTCTCTGTGCCTCCTGGACTTGAATGCATGTTTCCTTCCCCAGTTTAGGGAAATTCTCCACTATAATTTGCTCCAATATACTTCTGCCCCCCTCTTTCTTCTTTTTCTGGGATCCCAATCATTCTAAATTGTTTAGCATTATCTCTCAAATTCTTCCTTCGAGATCCAGTAATTCTTTTTCTCAGCTTCTCTATTCTCTAAAATTCTGCCTTCTTTATCACTAATTCTCTCTTCTGCCTCATTTATCCTAGCAGTTAGAGCCTCCATTTTTATTGCATATCATTAACAGCCTTTTTTATTTCAACTTCATTAGATTTTATTTCCTGTATTTCTTCAAAAAGGAATTCTCTAGAGTCTTCTATGCTTTTTTCAAGCCCAGCTAGTAGCTTTATAATCGTTATTCTGAACTCTGGTTTTGGCATCTTACTTATATCCATACTGATTAGATCCTTAGCAATCAGTACTGCCTCTTGTTCTTTTTGAGGTGAGTTTCCCGTCTTGTCATTCTGTCCAAAGAATAAATGAACGAGAACAAAATACTAAAATGGCAACAACCACCCCAGAGAAAAACATACACTAAATCAGAAGAGACCCCAAACCTAAAATACATAAATAAATTTTTCAAAAGACAGAATATAAACAGAGCAATACACTGGACCCTGTGTCTGTTAGACAACTAGATTCCAAAATTGTAAAAACAAAACAAAACAAAAAACCCTTATATATGTACAAAAATAAAATTAAATACCATGAAAGGAAAAAATATAACTGTAAAAATGAAAATTAAAAGACACAAAAAAAGAATCCATAGACAGATAAACAGGACAAAGTAATACACTATATCCTGGGTGTATTTTGGCCTGTTAGAAGAAACTGCAGCTCAAAATTATAAAGGAAGAAAAACATATATATACAAACATAAAATGAAAAACAAAGAAAGGATAAAAAGTAACTGTAAAAATGAAAATTAAGACTTAAAAAAAGTTGATAAAATAAGAAATCGATTGAAAAGGAATGAGAAAAAACTTAAAATTGAAAGACTAACAAATCATGAGAAAAAAGCCCATGAATTCTATATACTATTTTCCCCTAAGGATCCCTGGGTGGCGCAGCGGTTTAGCGCCTGCCTTTGGCCCAGGGCGCAATCCTGGAGACCCAGGATCAAATCCCACGTCGGGCTCCCGGTGCATGGAGCCTGCTTCTCCCTCTGCCTGTGTCTCTGCCTCTCTCTCTCTCTCTCTCTGTGTGACTATCATAAATAAATAAAAATTAAAAAAAATATATATTTTTTTCCCCTAGTGTGGAGTTTTGCAGTTCTCGATGATCAATAAACTTAGTCCTAGGTGGATATTCTTGCTGATCTTCTGAGGGAGGGGCCTGATGTGCTGATTATCAGGTGTCTGCCCCAGGCAGAACTGTACCACCCTTGCCTGGGGGTCAGGCTAAGTAAGAGCTCAGGATTGCTCTATGTGGCTTTTGTTCCCTGAAGCCTTTCCACACTGCTTTAGAGGATGAGAATGAAAATGGCAGCCTCCCAATTTCCAGCCCCAAAGCCAAAACTTGTACCCTGCCCCAACTCTTCAGTGTACCCTCAAGGAAAATCAGTCAATCACCCGTCTCTCTGGTTTCTATCAGCACTCTGCGCTCACCTAGCCTGTGACTGAGCATTTCTGTCTTAGGCACATGACCCCTCTTCAAGTCTCCAGACCTTGCAGACTCTTGCGGCAGGCATTGTGTGTGATTTTGTGTGTGTGTGTGTGTGTGTGTGTGTGTGTGTGTGTAGCACTGGTCCTGCAGCTCACTGGGCCCCTGCTCAGAGAACAGTTTGCGGTTTATGGCACAAGTCCCAGGAGTAGGCTCACTGATTGCAGCTGGCTTCCCCACTCCAGATGCCTGGGAACCCTGCCACACTTGGGCACACCTGGTCTTCCTCTGACCCTAGGAATCCTGAGACAACACTGTCCCATCTGGGATCCCGCTCCACTTTCCCACCTGAGTGCCTTTCAGACAGGGACTTGCCTCAAGGGAACAGATTTCTAAAAGTTCTGATTTTGTGCCCCACTGTTCTAATACTTTCTGGTAGCCAGTTTACAAAGGCTCCCTCCCTCTGCGGTTTATCTTCCCATATATCGCCTCAGATTCACTTCTCTGCACCTCCTACCTTGTATAAAGCAGTCACTGTTTTATTTGTAGATTTGCAGCTATTCTTTTCTTAGATCTCCAGTTGATTTTGAAGGTGTTCATCAGGATGATTTAATAAATACCTGAGTTCCTTGCACCCAACAAAACTAAGGTCGTCATCCAGTGAAGTCTTTCTTGCATTTCATCACTAGACTCTGCTTCTGTCCCCACATCTCCTTCTCTCTGTCTTCCCCAATCACCCTGTGATTACACTGGGCCCATCCAGATAATCCAGGATAATCTTCCCATGTCAAGACCCTTAACTACACCTTAATCACTTTTGCCATGTAACCTAACGTATTCACAGGTTCTGGGGATTAGGACTTGGACAAGGAGGGGGGCATTATTTGGCCTACCACAGCTATTTGTCATCTTGTTAGGAACTGGTGACAAGGGTTTCTAAAACTAGAGTCCATGGCTAGGCTTCAGATTATCTGTAAAACCCATGAGATTGTTGGCAAAATGTTGTATCTTCTGGAGTGTTTCTCAAGAGAGTGCCTGTATCTTTCATGATTTTCCACAGAGCTACAAGCCCAACACTATCACTTACTGTCCAAGACCTGACTGAAGGAAGAGAGCCAAGACCAGCACCGTACCCATAACTATCATAACAGACACAATTCTCCCACCTTATACTGTTAAGAAAAACTCATCACTTCTTCCATCCCCTTCTCAGGACATGCACAATTCCACACCGCACACAAACCTCTCCTGAGATAGAGGTGCCTGAGGGCACAGTTTAACAGCAGAATAATTGCCCCAGTAAGTGGAAAGAGCAGTAATGAGTAAGAGGCCTGTGGGTAAAAAGGGGGTTGAATCAAACTTTAAGTCACACAGGACCCATGCTTGAGCCCTCTTCTTTTCCAGCTAAGCCTCTAACCACAGGTGGAGAAAATAAAAGCCCCTGGCAAAAACAAAGCCACCTCTTAGCAGAGGAGCATTCCCGGATCTGTGACCCTTCTCTTCCTTCTTTCATTCTCAATAAGGAGAGGCTCACCACAGTGTTCACAAACCCTTACAGCTTTCCTCAGACAGCTTCCCAGATGCTTACTGAGGCCAATATCACAGACTCTGGATATGAAATGGAAAGTTTCTTCATCTCAATCTGAAAATTTTTTCATAGCACAAGTAAAAGCCTTAGGAAATAGTGTCTCTTACACCTGTGTGCCCAGCCACAAGCCAAGAAAAAGTTCACTTACTTTGACTGCAAGGTCTGTCTCGGCCATGTGCCATCTTCATTTTGGGGCTCAATTACTAGCACCTAAGTGAAAGGGGAAACCATGTAAGGAATATGCAAAGGACCTCACTGCTGACGAGCTCAGAACCAGAAGCTATCTGGCCACAGACTCTGGCAGAGCTCCCTGCTGGGTGTGGCCTGAGCCATCCTACCTGACCCTGGTAGAGCCCGGCATCCTGGACAGTGTTGTCTAGCTTGCTGAGCTGCTCGTAGGTATTACTCATGTATTTGTTCCACAGCCGTGTTTCACGCTCAGCAGGGATGTTGAACAGCTTCCGCATCTCCTTCTCGATGGTTGCTGGGGACAGGCAGAAAGATCACTCAGGGTTTTCTCTAGACACAAGGCTAAAACCAGCTATAGCAAGCTAATGCTCATCCTCCTTCCTGTTTGGATGGTCACAGGGTGCTTTGGACCAACAGTTCTGACTAACCTCAGCCCCTCAGTGATTCCTAAGGCCACACATCTTCCACAGGCATCCTCCTTCATTCACATACCTAGAAATTTTCCCTATGTTTCTCCTTCTTTGATGAAGTGGGTCCCATTTATAACATATAAGCAATGCAGAAAGGTAAGAAAGCTTATCTTCCAGGTTAAGATACATGTGGTTTCAAATACCAGCCCTGACATTTTCTCTAAGTTACTGTAACCTCTCTGAATCTGCATTTCCTCATCTTTATCACCATGTCAAACAGGTAGGAGCACACCCAACGTTCTATAAAACATGATTCCCAGGCTTAGCTATCCACAAGAACCAGGTCAGGATTGATAACCACAACCTGAGACTGTGGATAACAATTCTGGAGGGGGTGCTCAGCTTCCTTCCCATCAGCTATGGTGCTCTGCACTCTACCCCCAGATATTCAGGACCCCAGCCAAGCTACTCACCGATGGTGTCTGCCTTGCTGAAATGGCAACTCAGCACATTGGTGGGGTTGCTATTCTCACAGAGCTTCAGTTCCAGCAAATACACCTCTACCTTGCAATGCTTGACAAACAGGCCGTGCTCCACAACCTGCAAACAAGAGGCACAGGTGAAGTAGTGGTTCCATACCAGGCAGTCTTGGAAATGATAGTTTTCATCAGTGCTAAGAGGCAGAATCCACACAATAATCAGTTTCCCAGGGATCCCTGGGTGGCTCAGCGGTTTAGTGCCTGCCTTCGGCCCAGGGCATGATCCTGGAGTCCTGGGATTGAGTCCCGCATTGGGCTCCCTGCATGGAGTCTGCTTCTCCCTCTGCCTCTCTCTCTATGTGTGTCTCCCTCATGTATAAATAAATAAAATCTTTAAAAAAAAAAATCAGCTTCCCTAAGTGATCAGGGGATCAGAAGGACAGATTTTTAAAGCCACGAGCATCTGTCCTAGGAGTTTAAAATCTTCTTTCCACTCATGAGGAAGGATGGAAACAGAGCTAGCTAGAACACTGCACCACAGAGAAAGCACTGTTCATCTCTAAGTTGGGATCGTGATATCTCTCTTGCAGGGTTTGTTGAAAGAGAGAACTAGAGAATGTAGCTAAATCCCTGTGGTAGCAGAACACTCACCATATGGCAGCACTATGGGCATCAGGGGACATCTGAAGGAGACCGCACACCCCCAACTTTTTGATCCCTAACCCCCCTCAGGGGCCCAGGTTTACAGTTGGAGAAAGTAGGTAGTTCCAGCCCCAAACAATGACTCTTAGAAGCATGGCCTCAGAACTGCAGCTCTTTCCTACTCTGAGAAGGGGAACTACATACCAGTAAGAGTGAGAAATTTACCCAATGTCTACCTATTAGCAGGCATGTGGGCTCCTGTGATTTCCCCTCTGGTAGGACAAGCAAGCAAATGACTATGGGAGTCAGGACTGGTGGTCTTCTCCAAAGTCCCATTTACCAAAAGGGTGAAGAATCTGGGTTTCTATCCCACGGGCCACTTTCCCTCAGAAGGCTATTCTTCTCTGGCTTATAACCATCTGCTTTTTGAGATATTCAACAGTGTGGCCAAAGACTCATAAGCACAGAGAAAAAAGTAGTCTCAGAAAAGTTGTAAGATAAATGAAGCAGTACATTACTGTATGTCTGTATGACCCCAAATAAACTTTCTCTTATACAGCCTTCCAGAAAGTGCTCTCATGGCACTGCTGGACACATCCCCAAGCCATTGGGCAGCTCTGATGTTTGGAGGCCAATCACTGTAACATCCCAGGTGAGCAGCCTTACTCACCACACTCATGACCACAATTCCCTAAAGAGAATCAAAAACAAGGCCTCAAACACATCTATTCAACCCCTTAGGTACATCCAGTACCCCGGAAAACCAATACTGGTGTCCCCAAGGAGCATTCACAAACATTGACCAGCTGCTGGGATAATCTGCATACTCACTTTTCTGACAATGGGCTGCTGGCCTTCTACACAGCCATACCAGTTTAGTAATTTATTCCAGGCCTCGGTTGGGACCAATACATAGTCCAATTCATCAATTAAATGTTCTTTCAATGTCTGACTCTCGGGATCTGAAAACAAAACAAAACAAAACACCTCATAATTCATTCATCTTCTTCCAAGAAATGTTTAACAGAATTCTTATGTACTTTTCAGAAACAAGAAAATTATTATAGAAACAGTTACAAAATTACAAAATTCTGTCACTGGTCATAACGCAGAGCAGACCTGGCAACTGTCTTCAGCCATGCCCTCAGAGAAACGGGTTTTTCTTCTATAATGAAGTGGAGTACGCAGAATAAAAAACACCTATTTACATATTCAACGTGCTTCCCCAATCCACAATGAAAACTTTAAATATGAATATTTAACATAATACTCTGCTTACTGAAACTTCACCGAAGACAAGTATCATCTTCTGATTTACTAAGAAAGCAACAAACACATCATTGAAGTTAATTTTATTTTATCAAGAGTCATTCAGTATTCTTAGTTTCCCACAGTCCCAAGTCAAAACCCAGCTGGACAACCCCTTACAGAGGGAGATGTCTTTAAGACCCTAACGTGCTAAACATCAACCTCACATGCACCACAGGCAGGAAGCATAACTAGTAGAAGTCAGAAGTGGACATCCACAATCTTATACACACTCCCTCAACTGAGGACCAAGGAACTGGATCAAAAGAAGACTCAACCATCATCTCCCATCAATGGAGCCTCCCTGTGCCAATCAACACCCACTCCTGCCGTAGCGCAAGCCACAAAAGTGGGAAAGCAAAAGTATGCACAACAGTGCCCCTCATCTGTAACTCAAGGCATAGGATGTTAAAAACCAAAACCAGCGATGCCTGGGTGGCTCAGTAGTTGCGCATCTGTCTTTGGCTCAGGTTGTGACCCTAGGGTCCTGGGACTGAGTCCCATTATCAGGCTCCCTGCATGGAGCCTGCGTCTCCCTCTGCCTGTGTCTCTGTCCCTCTCTCTGTGTCTCATGAATAAGTAAAATCTTTAACAAAAATAAATAATAAATAAATACATACATATACACACACACACACACACACACACAAGCAAAACAAAAGCAAATATACACAAGCAAAACAAAACCAAAATCATAAATAGCATTCACAAGGTGACTGGGGCTTCCAGTCCCACATGCCCCCTTGCCCCCCCATCAATTTATACTTTATCCCATCAGCTCTTCTGCCCTTCCTTAGAGCCAAGTTTCGGATCTGATCCGCCTCTGCCTTTTTCATTTCCGGGGAGAATAGGAAAGACGTCAAATAGCAGCAGAGGACAGGAATACCAAGGTGAGTTGGATGAACAGATAATTATGATGGGGTATACAACTACAGTGGAATACTATTCAAACTTTAAATGGAAGGAAATCCTGACACATGCTATGAGGATGAACCCAAGAATATGATACTAAATAACATAAGGCAGTCACAGAAAAACACACTGAATGACTCCACTTAAAAGAGGTTATCTAGAATAGTGAGATTCAGACACAGAAAGTAGAATGGTGGCTCCAGGGGCTCAGAGGGAAGGAGATTGGGAGCTATTGTTTAATGGGTATGGAGTTTCAGTTCTGCAACATGAAAATGTCCTCAAGATTGGTTGCAAATAAATGTGAATATACTTAATACTATATACACTTAAAAATCGTTAAGATGATAAATTCTAAGTGATGTGTATTTTATCATAATAATAATAATCATAATAATCACAGGGGATCCCTGGGTGGCTCAGCAGTTTAGCTCCTGCCTTTGGCCCAGGGCATAATCCTGGAGTCCCAGGATCCAGTCCCGGGTTGGGCTCCCTGCATGGAGCCTGCTTCTCCCTCTGCCCGTGTCTCTGCCCGCCTCTCTCGTGAATAAATAAATAAAATCTTTAAAAATAATAATAATAATGATAAAAAATGGATGGATCCTTTTCATTGATGAGCCAACCACTTTCCACAGCAGCTCTGGCATGATTATTAACACCAATAAACCAGGCCTTTTTTGGTGAGCAATAAAAGGATGATCCCCTGGTATCATTCTGCTTGACAAAATTGACACCTAATTCCAAACTTTTCTCTGATTTATAAATTAAAACCCACAGAAGTTATTCACTTCTTATCTAACCTAGGGAGATACTCTTCTTCATTTCTAACAATAAGCACTATGCAGATCTGGCATTACACACAGTGTCAAGCAGTGGCTAGAAACCTTTAAATGTGGGAAAGGGACATGCATCTCTCAGCACCACCAACACCAAGTGCATCATTTCCATGGGGCATATTCCTCTTTAAGGCTCTGTGATGATTTTCACCCACGTCACTCTTCCAGACTCAGTACAAATACAGGAAACATGACTGAGAATTCCCAATGAAGTTTACTATTTTCACTTGAAACAAGATCAGTCTAAAGGCATCATGCTCAAAATCACACAAAGGTTTGAGAATGAGGATTTAGTCTCTGCAAATTTCTTCAACAGAGGCAAATAAAGGGGGGGAAAGTGAGAGCACAGCTTGGCCTACACACAGGGATTCCATCTGATATACAGCAGGTACAGAGGTGGAAAGAAGGGTGCTCTGCAGACCAACATAAGCAAGGGCATGCTGTACCCTATCCTTCCTACACTTTCAAGAGTCCCATCCAGCCACTTCCATTCCCTAGGTGAAAGGCAGCCTGACTGGGACAGGGGACTGAGTCTGGGAACTAAGGGGGTAACCTATCTCACCAAAGATAGGTCATTCCTGCACTGTCAACGTTCCAAGCAGGGTCTGAACAGAATGCACTTCTCACCTCCTAAGCACACAGTAAATGTTTCAAGCCATAGCCAAATGACATAAAAATGGAGGACCATGGAAGAAATGCTTGCCCTCACCTGAAGGTCATGCAAAATGATTTCACAGAGCCCCTCTAGCCCTAGAATTCACATCACTAGTATTCTTAAAAGCATTAAGAAATCTGTCATTTAAAAAAAAAAAAAAAAAAAAGAGGAGCACCTGCCTGGCTCAGTCAGTAGAGCATGGAACTCCTGATCTCAGGGTCATGAGTTCAAGCCTCACAGTGGGTTAGAGGTTACTTAAAAAAATAAAGGGGGTGGGGGGAGAATGTACACACAATCCCATGCTCCCTCAGGCCAACTTCATGATGTGATGACACCATCTGAACTACATCATCAGGAAACAAAGCACATGAATTACTATGCCACTAAGACCTCCCCTAAAACAAGTCTGATTTGAAGAACTGCTCATTTTTTAAAAACGCCCAGGTTAGCGTTAAGTACTTGGATCAAGCCTCATACATTGTCTGCCTTCCTACTCCCCGCCTTGGGTGCAATCAATAGATCAGCTCTGTCCTGCTTGCAAGGGAGTCTAAAGCTAGGCAAAACACAGCCCAGGAAAGATCAATTGTCTTATCTATGAATCTACATCTATGCATCTTAGCTATGTACTAGCCCAGCTCTGGTATGTCATGCTAATTTTTTCAATCACTTCTTCCAATGCGAGCTGACGGTGTTAATAACTCTACCTTCCACCTCTCTTCACACTACTCCTATGACAAACTACTATCATGGGAATGCTTGATGGATGTAGACAGGTGTGCAATTTGTTCCACTAAAAAGATAACACAAAAAATTATAGTACCCAAATTTCAGATTCCAGATGCAATTTCAAAATGATATCTTCTTTCCATTCCACATCTAATTAATATAAAATCTGACATCTCTAGCAAAACTAATTTGCAAAAGAAAAATGTTAGAAGCATGCTTCTGCCTGAAGCAGTTAAGTTTGGGGAAAAATAGTTTAACTTCTCCCTGAGGGTCTACAAAGATTTCTGCTGTTGACGCAAATCAAGGACACTTGTTTCTAATCCATCACAGTAGGAAAGCTAGGTTCACAACTTCATGTTAATGATAAATATGACCTCAGGCCACTGCTTAGGTGGTTATTTCACTTAGAAAAGCAATAGGATAATATACCTGAGAAGAGTCCAGAGTTATCTATCGGGCCAGGAAACAGATTGTGTTCACCCACATTGTACATATCCCAGCTGTCGAAACCCACATACTTCTTCCACTGCTTGAACCACCGGCTGTCAATAAGATACCTAGACAGAGATAAAAATTTACTATGCCAGAAAAACTGAGGTTCTGAGTTTCTGCAGTTGCTCCTTTAAATTTTTTTATGGTCTTTCCACCTGGAGAACACACAATTCCCATTTAAAAACACACTTTCAGGCAGCCCAAGTGGCTCAGCGGTTTATACTGCCTTCAGGCCAGGGTGTGATCCTAGAGACCTGGAATAGAGTCCCACGTCAGACTTCCTGCATGGAACCTGCCTCTCTCTCTGTCTCATGAATAAATAAAGTCTTAAAAAAAAAAAAAAGAAAGAAAGAAAAAGAAAAGAATGAGAGGTGCTCAGGTGGCTCAGTTGCTTAAGCATCCAATTCTTGGTCTCAAATCAAGTCCTGATCTCAGAGTTGTGAATTCAAGCCCTACACAGCACTCTACAACTGGGTATGGAATCTACTTTAAAAAAAAAAAAAAGAATAAATAAATAAATGAATAAATGAAAGGAAATTATTGGATTCAAGCTTATTTAAATGAAGTCCTCCTATGAGTAAATTCCTGTTCACTAATGAGTAATTCAGTAATTTCAAATGATCTTTTTTTTTTTTCAAATGATCTTTATAGAAGTTCTTGTCTAGGACAGTTAACTTTTAAAAGTATCACTATGAAAAACTTTTTAAAAAGTATCACTATGATGTTTTACAATTAAGAGAGGAGGAGTAAATCTTTGTGGGGGGAAAAAAGCACAACAATCATATTGGTGAATCCTTCAAGGTTTTTTTTTTTGTTTTTAAAGATTTTGTCTATCTATTCATTTAAGAGAGAGCACTTGAGGGATCCCTGGGTGGCGCAGCGGTTTAGCGCCTGCCTTTGGCCCAGGGCGCGATCCTGGAGACCCGGGATCGAATCCCACGTCGGGTTCCTGGTGCATGGAGCCTGCTTCTCCCTCTGCCTATGTCTCTGCCTCTTTCTCTTTCTCTCTCTCTCTCTCTCTCTGTGTGTGTGTGAGACTATAATAAATAAATTAATTAAAAAAAATTAAAAAGAGAGAGAGAGAGCACTTGAGAGATCACAAGCAGGGGGAGGGGAGGAGGGAGAGGCAGACTCCCTGCTGAACAGGGAGCCTGATGCAGGGATGATCCCAGGACCCTAGGATCATGACCTGAGGTGAAGCAAGGAGCTTAAAACTGATTGAGCCACTCAGGTATCCCAAGTCCTTTAGGTTTTATAAAAAACAAACCTAAGCGATCAGGTAGCTTCCCAAAAGCCACAAGGATCTATATATACACCCAAATCTTTAAAATGCTCCTTTCCTGGACGCCTAGGTGGCTCAGTGATTGAGCATCTGCCTTTGGTTCAGGGCATGATCCTGGGATCTGGAATCGAGTCCTACATTAGGCTCCCTGTGTGGGCGGAGCCTGCTTCTCTCTCTGCCTGTGTCTCTGCCTCGCTCTAAGAAATAAATAAAATCTTTTTAAAAAAATGCTCTTTTCCCTCCAAACCCCCCCACTTTTTTTTTTTTTTTTAAAGATTTCATTTATTCGTGAGAGACAGAGAAAGAGAGGCAGAGACACAGGCAGAGGGAGAAGCAGGCTCCATGCACGGAGCCTGATGTGGGACTCCATCCCGCGTCTACAGGATTTCACCCTGAGCCAAAGGCAGATGCTCAACCGCTGAAACACCCAGGTGTTCCTCCCTCTAAACCCCTTGAACAATAACCCCACTTTTAGTGTGACCTAGACTATCTGAAACATCCTCTCTCTGATCTTGCCACATATTCTTCATCTATCACTCCGAAGCAGGATAACTTCTGCTTGCCCTGCTGTACAGACCTATCTGAATTCCTCCTAATCCAAATGTTTCCCTTTTCCTGCTCAATTACCTTAAGTAGCATAAACACCACCTAATTTCTTAAAGATTCGATGTTCAATCATATCCAATGCAAATCTAAGCCTTAGCTTTCTACTCCCACACGATAATATCACCCAGGAATCTCTTCACTAGTGGAAGAACTGTCCCTTCTACTAATTTATTAAGAAGCCTACTGTCTCAGATTTGCTCTTCTAAACCATGGACTTTTCATCTTCTTATCTAGGCTCTAAGCTATCCTCCTCCCCCACACTGAAACGCTGCTGCCACAATTATTTTTGACACTTGCTACCAAAGTAACCCGGAGCTTTCAAACATTTGTTCAACTTCTAACCTTGACATCTATTCGAGAATTTACAAGTTACAAAAGTATCTACTTCTGATGTTCTTCTCAACCCATAACGTGGGGATGCCAAATACTGCTACCCTGGCTTTAATAGTAAGGTACCGAGGTCTGGGAGGTGTGGTCGCCTTCCCTCAAGGTCACACAGAGAGTCCTCGAAGGTAAAGGGGCTCTTCCCATCCTGAAGGTCCCCGTGAGCACGCCCCTTCCCCCTACCCTGTGGCCCCTACCCCCCACCGGGTCCGCCCTCTGGGGCTCCGAAAGGGCCAGGATAACCCTCACACTTTCCCTGAGGTGCTTCTACGGGTCCTCTTCTGAGAGACAAGGTTCAGGACACCCTCTCAGGGTCACTAACACCGCCCCCACCCGGCCCCTATCCAAGCCGGGAAAGAGAGGTCTGGCCTAAGGGCCAGAGCCCCTGCCTCTGGGTCTGGGCGGCGGAAAGGCGGGCCCGGTGCTCACCACTGCGCCCCTCGTTGGAGCGTGGTCCTCATCAAGGCCCCGAGCTCGGATTTCTGGGTCTCCGCATCAGGCCGCTCACGGTACCCTCCACCTTCCGCCATCTCGTCCGCCGCCCCGGCCCAGCCGGCCCGGACATCCGCCTCGCGCACGGCGTGCTGTGGGCCACGCCCACGCACGCACGCACGCACGCGCGCACGCGCGCGCGTACCCAAGCCCCACCTAGCGCCGCGGCCTGGAACGTCTGCTCGCCTGCTTCTGCCTTTTCTATCACGTGCGGCCCTTCCCCACCGGTGCGGGGCGGAGCCGGGAGGGGGCCGGAGGAGGAGGTGGGTACTGGCAAACGTGCGGGCCCTTTCTGCCGCTGTGGGGGCCGCGAGGTGTGCTGGCTTGCATCCCTTTGTCGAGCCCGGCGATCTCTAGGCACCTGACCGCAGTCCCCTTGACCCCTCAGGCACCCCGTCCAGGCCCACGGTGTTAGCCTGCTTTTTAGATAAACCCAGGGCCAGGTGCGAGAAGCCCTGGAACTAGCTTTTCTTGCTTTGAGCTGGAGATCTTAGGCCAGTCCTTAGCCTTACAAACGGGGGATCCGGGTGCCGGTCCTGGAGGCCCTGCAGGGATATTGGAGAGTGCCGGTATACCTGCGCCTTGGGACCGGGACTCGACGGTGTAGTCTAGTCATTAACACTCCTTTCAAACAGTCTAGACGCCAGAATCATGGCCCACGACCGAATAACCCAAGCCCTCCACACAGCTAGCTGCTTGCCTTATCAGGGAAACAAGCAGCCGCTGAGTGGCGATAGCAGCGAGGTTAGAAGGAGAGATCTGGGTGTGTTCTCCACATTAGGTGCCCAAGTTGCTGCTTAATTTGTTGCTACAGGGACGCCTGGGTGGTCAAGTGGTTTGGCACCTGCCTTTGGCCCAGGGCGTGATCCTGGAGTCTGAGGATCGAGTCCCTCAACGGGCTCCGTGCATGGAGCCTGCTTCTCCTAATGCCTGTGTCTCTGCTTCTCTGTCTCTCATGAATAAATAATTAAAATCTTTAAAAGTAATGATAATAATAATTTGTTGCTGCAACAAGATTCAGTGTCCTGAACACTATGTGTCTTCCACTGCATACAAAAAGCACAGCTCACCTCATGGAGTGGGAAGTAAGCCCAGAGGAGGGAGACCGGGCAGCTGGCCTTGATGAGTCACGATTCATTTTCTAGCAGTTCCTGCCCAAAAAAAATGTCACAGTGCCTGATTTCAAACTAATGGAGAAGAGATCTTCCACAAATAACCCCAGCATCAAGCACTGTATGGTATGGGTAAGTGCCATGAAAGGGTATGAACCAAAGACTGTAGACCCCTAGAGTTGTGAAAGGGCAAGTTTGACTTGGTAGCATTTGAGTGTGGTTTTATTTTTATTTAAGATTTTATTTATTCATGAGACACACAGAGACAGAACAGGCTCCACACAGGGAGCCTGATGCAGGACTCTATCCTAGGCCCTGCTGGATCACAACCTGAGCACCCAGGTGCCCCCTTGAGTGTGGCTTTAAGAAGCATAGAAATTGGAGGTGCATGTTACAAGAAAGGAAACTACAGGAGTCAATTTCTGGAACAAGTAGGGCAGAACCAAAGATTAAGGATCAGAAATTAAGCTGGGGGGCAGCCCTGGTGGCGCAGCGGTTTGGCACCACCTGCAGCCTTGGGTGTGATCCTGGGGACTCGGGATCAAGTCCCACATCAGGCTCCCTGCATGGAGCCTGCTTCTCCCTTTCCCTGTGTCTCTGCCTCTCTCTCTCTCTGTGTCTATGAATAAATAAATAAAATCTTAAAAAAAAAAAAGAAATTAAGCTGGGCACAGAGTAGTGGAAAGAACAGAGGCCAGAAAGGCCATATATTCTGCTTTAAATGGCTCACAGAGGGATGCTGGGGTGGGTCAGTGATTGAGCATCTGCCTTTGGCTCAGGTTGTGATCCAGGGTCCTGGGATTGAGTCCCACATCAGGCTCACCCACAGAGAAGCCTGCTTTTCCCTCTGCCTATGTCTCTGCCTCTCTCTGTCTCTCATGAATAAATAAGTAAAATCTTTAAAAAATAAAAATAGGGGATCCCTAGGTGGCGCAGCGGTTTAACGCCTGCCTTTGGCCCAGGGCTCGATCCTGGAGACCCGGGATCGAGTCCCACGTCGGGCTCCCAGTGCATGGAGCCTGCTTCTCCCTCTGCCTGTGTCTCTGCCTCTCTCTCTCTCTCTGTGACTATCAAAAATAAATTAAAAAAAAAATAAAAATAAATAAATGCCCCCCAGATATTGTAAAAGGTTTTGGATCAGAGACAAACTAGCTGAAGCTGAGAAGAGACCTATTAGGAACCTTTAACTAGAGAGATGGCAATGAGGAAGGAGAAACAGATGAGCCATGTTCAGTGTTGGGGATGGAGGAGGGATCACTGGCTAGGTGAAGGTGTGGTAGGCCATTTGAGCAGATTTACTATTTTTATCCTGGGTTTTGGCTAATTGAAATTAGCATGAATCGAATACACGCTACCTGGGACACCCCTCAGGTACCCTCTGGTAACACAGGCCTCTTGGGAGTTGGGTAGCTAGGAGAAGAAAAGTAAATTTGGAATTAAAACTGTCTTGAATAACTGAATAACTTCATAGCAGTTAATCCTCCGCAGATAAGAATTACCACCACGTGATAATTCTGCATCTGGGGAGCCGACCTTGACAACCCGAGTGCCCTTCTGTGAAAGTTATTTGAAAATGTTAAAAATGTTGTTAAATGAGAAACACCACCTTTAGCCCTGTTATTTATGGAAAAAGAAAGCTGGGTTATCGACATGACTTCAGAACCTACATTACAGGGTGTCTACTTCTCTCTTCTTTTTTTAGCAGTTTCTCCTATACCATTTATGGCATGGGTCAGAGTCTTAAGGAAGTAGGACAAGTCCTCAGCACCACTAGAAAAGGGGCCAAAACCTAATTATAAATATGAAAACTTTTTAAGGCAGGATCTCTTCAGTGCTATTAAATGACTGTAAAAATCTTGCTCTAATTATGGATAGTTCCTAAAAAATTTATACTAAGATCACAAAGTGCCAGTAGTCGAAATGTGAGGAAGAAAAATGTCGTAGTCAGAAAATAATTACTTCCAAAGTATTAAAACGTTTTTAATGGGGTACCTGGCTGGCTCATTTGGAAGAACATGTCACTTTTGATCTCAGGGTCCTGAGTTCAAGCCCCATGTTGGCTATAAAGATTACTTAAATAAATAGAACTTAAAAATTAAATTAGGGGCACCTCGGTGGCTCAGTGGTTGAGCATCTGCCTCCTACTCGGGTCGTGATCCCCGAGTCCTAGGATTGGGTCCCGCATCAGGCTCCCCACAGGAAGCCTGCTCTGCTTCTTCCTCTGCCTATGTCTCTGCCTCTCTCTGTGTGTCTCTCATGAATATATAAATAAAATCTTTTTTAAAAAATAAATTAAGGGGATCCCTGGGTAGCTCAGCAGTTTAGCGCCTGCCTTCGGCCCAGGGCGTGATCCTGGAGTCCCGGTATCAAGTCCCAGATCAGGCTCCCTGTGTGGAACCTGCTTCTCTCTCTCTGCCTGTCTCTGCCTCTCTCTCTCTCTGTCTCTCATGAATAAATAAATACAACTTTAAAAAATAAATTAATTAAAAAAATAAAACACTTTTAGTGAGGGTTTTTTTTTTTAAGATTTATTCATTTATTCATGAGAGATACAGAGAGAGAGGCAGATACACAGGCAGGGGGAGAAGCAGGCTCCTCGAAGGGAGCCCGACGTGGAGCTTGATCTCGGATCCCAGGATCACACCCTGAGCTGAAGGCAGATGCCCAACCACTTAGCCACCCAGGCGTCCCTAGTGAGTTTGATTAAAATGTTAAAGATTGAGAATTAGAAACAATGAACATCTACCTGTGTGTTCCTGCTGTTGTGGGTGACCTGTGGATTATGGAAGAAATGAATGATTCAGGTCAGGAGACACTTTGGCACTGGGGACATGTCCTCTTTGGGCCTTTTAGCCTAGGAAAGATGTAGGCCTAGTAGGATACTCCGCCTCACAGCCAAACCTCAGAACTGAACACCCCACCCATTGCCATGGCAGCTTGGGCCACAAGAACAGGAAGGAAAGCAGGAAGAGAGCTAGAGGGAACAGGTTTGACTTATTTGTCATGTACTGCTTGATCTTGAACTGTGATGACCTAATTGAGAGTTTGTAATGTCTGGGTGTGTGAATGTTAAGCTTTATTTGGTTCCAAATCATAAAGTTCTTGCCTTGCTGGCACTGTGGCTTGCTCTACACCTAACTGGAGTTGGCCCTCTCAAGTCAGCATTGGTCCATACTTGGTCAGGAATGACAGAGTACACATGGCAGTGTTCACAAATATTGGGGAGGTTTTGATTACAGGTCTCTTCAGGGGATGTTTTTGTTTTCTTCTTGTCTGTGCTCCTTTAACCTGACCAGGGGACTATGAAAAAGTAAAAGTTTCTAGAAGTACATTTCATTTTTTAAAAAAGATTTTAGGGCAGCCCCAGTGGCTTAGCGGTTTAGCGCCGCCTTCGGCAGGGCGTGATCCTGCAGTCCTGGGATTGAGTCCCGTGCCAGGCTCCCTGTATGGAGCCTGCTTCTTCCTCTGCCTGTGTCTCTGCCTCTCTCCCTCTCTGTGTGTCTCTCATGAATAAATAAATAAAATCTTTAAAAAAAAATCGAGTTGATTTGTCCTTGGGAGGTCAAAGCTAAGGATGTTGGGGCTTAGAGTTTGCTTCTCTAGTTCTTCCAGGGTTAGGGTCGGGTTCCACAAGCCCTTACTCCTCAGGCAAGAACTTCTCTTATTTGTGCTCCCAGCTCCCACTCCAGCAGAGCCTGATGCAAAGCATGTGTCTGATAACTTGTGTGACCAGCTGGAGCTGGGCTTTATTTTAGTACCATCCCAGCCATGTCATACCTCCATGTGTGAAAACATGCTCTTCCAGTCTATTTGTTGATTGTAAAATAACAGAAATCTGCCAACAGAGAGAACATGAAGGAGAGGGAGAGAAGCAGACTCCCTGTGAGTGTGGAACCAGATGTGAGGCTCAATCCCAGGACCCTGAGATCATGACCTGAGCCCAAGTCAGACGC